TGTCCCAAAACTACTTGGCTACTCTCCATAAAACGACTGTTGTCACCCAAGCCGCAGTCGGTAACTTCACAGGTTGCGGAGCGGCTTATTCAGAGAAAAAAACATTCAAATATTTTTAGCCGAAAACGATTTGAACTTGGTTTTAGCTAAAATCAATCAAGTTTGCATTTATAAAATTGGAAGTCGCGGTCTTGAGCAAGTGAAAGACATCTCCATTTATGGTAGAGTTGTTGGTATGAAGCTATTTCGACCCATCGGAAAAGTTTTTTTCTCAATTTTTTTTTTTTTTATATTTGCTCCAGATGAAAGATCTTATTATAATACTAACTGCAAAGCAATATTTTATTGTTCTCGGATGGGATGAGGCACGAAATGAAGTAATAACTAGAGCCTCCTGTAGTATTGCCGATAGAATCAAGCCTATTTTTGAACACAATTCACTGATCTCAATTCATAAAACAGGGGTTTTGATTACAAACTTCAGTTTGATATTCTTAAAGTTATCTACAGGTGATGAGCCTTCGTTTGTATGAGAGAGCTGTGAAAATTATACATTTGTCTGATCTCAAAGAAGACAAATGTCTGGATGAAATAATGACTTGCAATTTGTCATTGAACGGTGAAGCAGTTGCAGATTTCACATTCACTGAATCCATCGGTAATGGAATTTCAATATTCATAGACTCGGAAGTTCCAGAAAACTCTGTGAATTTCGCTTATATCTCGAGAGATTCTCGGGGAAAGAATTTGACTTTGTGTGAAATGAGTGTATGCGATTTTGAAATCACCGTAAAAGCAGAACATGTAAGTGTCTTCCTGTACATCTTTCAATTGATATTTTTATACTCAGAGTAATCTTCACAACACATCAACTGTTGTTATTCCCGTACCTACACCTTACGAAGGAGTCGTTGTTGTCAGTCGGGAGACAATGTTATACTACAAGTTTGACATTTGTTTAGAAGAGATCGGTATACATGGTATTGTTTATTGCAGAAATCAATCTACTTTTTTCTCCATTCGTATGACATTTGAACCTGAATCAGTCTTCACTTGCTACACAACGTTTTCTATTCAAAACGAATGCCGTGCTCTGATCGGTGAGGCTACTGGTCAATTATGTGATATCGTTTTGGATTTCGATGATATGAATCAACAAGTGTCTAACATGAAGGTAGATGTTCAGATTTCTATGCTATCACACAAGACTCTAGATTTCTCTATTGGGAGAAATATCGATTCCTGAATGTCTGGTTCATGTAGAAAAAGATGTGTTTTTCATAGGATCACGCCTAGCTGATTCACAATTCATCAAAATTAACAGAAAAATGGGATTGTCTTACATTCAAGTTTCTTTCAGATTGAAGACTGTTTTTTTAAGAAATTTTAAGGTTTTGCAAACTATGCCAAATATCGCTCCAATAAGGGATCTCACTTTGATTAAGAGCGGCCATAAAACTCGGTTGGTAACTTGCTCCGGATGTCACAAAGTTTGAAATTAAAATACAATCAATAAAATTTTCAATTTACCCGTAGGATGGCTCATTGCGGATTATTGAAAATGGAACAGGAGTTGATCAAGCAGCCTACATTGGTATAGCAGGAATTAAAGTTTCGTGGTTTCGCTAGATTTTAACTTAACTTGATTTTCAGAAAGTGTTTTCGCTCAAGATTGAGTGTGAATTTGACAACTATTTAATTGTATCCTCTGACGATAGTACTCACGTTCTCCAAATCGATGGAGAAGAAATAGAAGATGTGGACATGCTGATAATCAGTACTAATACTACAACTTTGTGGGCAGGGGTGTTGGAAAATATAAACATCATTGTTCAAGTTTGGGAAAACAGAGTTCTCCAATACATCACGAATATAGGTCACTCCAACTACTGTGAAGTTTTGTACCATCAACAATGTCTATCATTGTTGGTATCCAAATGAAAATCTCATTGACCACGTGTCTGTAAATAAAGAACTGGCAGAGGTTTAGTTTTCAGTATAGGTGATGATTCTATTATGAAAAGCTTTAAGATAGTTGTTGCTTGCGGAGCAGTTATTTATTTTCTCAAATATAAACTTGAAACTAACCTTTTCGAACAAGTTTCGAGAAAGGAATTGCAGTTCCAAATTTCTTGCATTGATATAGCTCAGATAGGTTCTTTGATAATTTCAGTTTGACTTATTAGTACGACAATAAACAGTTATAGATGATGAAAAACCAAGTGTTGTCGCTGTTGGCTTTTGGACCGAAAATAGTTCAGCCATTCTGGAATTACCTGATTTTATCGAGGCTTTTTGTTTAAAAAAAAAGCATTAAGAACATATTCCTTTAGATCACTCGTCATCCGCTTGCCATTGATGTCATACCCAGATTCATAAGGATTGCACAAATGGAAACTGTAACATATCTATTGGTTCTCTTGGGAGATGGACAATTCCACTACTTCACCTTCAGTAGAGAGACAGGTAAAAAGGCTTTAATAATGAAAAAAGTATTACTTGTAGGTGCTCTAACATACATTGAAAAAGTATTCATCGGCGCTCAACCTACCGCACTTCTTAAAATTGATCGTGAAGGTGCCACAAACATTTTTATCGGCTCTGAGCGCCCAATCATGATGTATTCATCCAATAACAAGCTTGTATTCAGCGATCTATTATCGAACGTTGTTGTGGATTTGTGCTTACTCAATTCCGAGAAATACAAGTTCTTCTTTTTTTGTGTTTTCAAACACTAAAACACTTTCTTAACAGAAACTGCTTCGTTATCTCCGATGAAAAAGCCTTGTCGATTTCAACGATTGAGTCAGCACCGCGATTACATGTTCGTTCCATAACCACTGGAGAAGCTGTTAAAAAAATTGCTTATCAAAAGGAAACAAATACTATCGGGATCCTGTGTGAAAGACCAGAGGTTGTTGTTTATCGTCGCAAATTAAAAACCTCTGAAATTTAGGGAACTTCTAAAAGCTCTATATCGAAGTCAGCTACTCTCCTAACTCGAGCTGGTCCAGATATAGGTTACTTAACAATAGAACTTTTTTTCAACTTTTCAAACATTCTCTTCCAGCTGCAAATATCAGAAACACAAATGGAAGTGATGATGGTATGGTTCATTCGTTTGTTCTCCTCAACGCAGACACATTTGAACCTTTGCATACTTATGAGTTCCCTTATAATGAGCATGTGGTATCCATCACCTCCGCTAAGCTTGGTAGTGATCCCAAGACATACTATATCGTGGGGACCGCCATAATACGAAATAGAGAATTTCGAGTGTCTTCAGTAACTTTAAAAACTGAAAAAAGTGATAAGTATATCAATTCAGGGAAGGATCACCTTCTTTGAAGCGAATCTCGGAAACCCGCACTTTTTAGTAAGAGTTTTCGAGAAACATACTAGAGGATGCCCTTTCTCTGTGAACGTTCTGAGATCGAACCTTATTGTAGCGCTCAACAGGTTCCGTTCTACTAATTATGGAACATGACCATATTCTGTTTAGTTCTGTAAGAGTTTTCAAATGGATCATGCCTGATAGAGCTGATTTAAAACTGGAATGTTCTTACTTCAATAACTTATCCGCTTCACAAGTCAAAGTTGAAGTATGAATTAGATTTGAGCTGTTTTCTTAAACGTTTTACTCAGGGAGATCTTGTTGTTGTTGATGATGTTCTTAGATCATTTGGTATTTTAAGCTATAACCCCGTGGAGAACACTCTTGAAGAAAGAGCACGGTTTGTCGCTTAACGTTTTTTCTTCTCAAAACCTCATAAAATCTTTTTTTTGAGAGATTACCGCGGGATGTGCATGACTGCTCTTGAGTTCATAGATGCAGATACGATCATTGGATCTGATATTGGATACAATATCATAGTTGGAAAACTGACCAAGCCTCCGCATTTTGACAGCTATGAATTCTTAGTTTACTAAAAACAATATATGCATTTTAAAATTATAATTCTTAAGGAAAAGGGGCTTTATCATATCGGAGAAGCTATAAGTACTTTTCAAAGAGGAGTTTTTCGCGCCAGCTCGTTAAATCGATCCATTTCTATTGGACAACCTGTCATATATGGAACTACTGATGGCACTATCGGCATGGTTGCCCAAATACCTCATGAGACCTATAGGTTTGTGCTTTAAAATTTCGTTCAACTATTATGTGCTTCTGAAAGACTTCTTGCGGCGGTGGAATCTGTGGTTATCAAAAAACTGCCAAACTATGCTAGAATTCCATATACATCTTACCGACGCTTTGAAACTGAAGGAGCTGTAGATGTGGTAAACCTCACTCTCTTAGCAGAGACAATTTACAAATTACTTAAGGCTTTCGGATTCATAGATGGTGACATGGTCGAATTTACATTAAAGCTCTCTCGGGAGGACCAATTGGAACTTTTCAGCTCTCTGCAAATACCAGGTTGTTTTCATCTTGATCATTTTTCTATTTGATTCTACCTTTAAGATTATCTTTCGATGAACGCAGAACAAACTGTGGATGAAGTAATGGAAAAAGTGAATGATCTTGCCCGTATTCATTGAAAATATTCATACAAGTTTGATTATATTAATCAAAATACTCTAAATAATCAATACGTTGACATATGTTACTCCTAATATTCCTTCTAATCTTTTTGAAGCATAAGCATGAAGTGTATCACTTCTCAAGAACCAATCAGTGGATTCTGGTTTGATTATTCTTACCGTGTTTGCACTTACCATCTGACTCAATTTTCTCCACCATTTTTTACCAGCCGGTTCTCATTTGCTTGTATCAGCTTTTTAATAAAATGTTATATGTTATAACTTTTTTATCCAGTTTCGGTAAATCAGAATTCTGCTTGGAAATGCCATTGACAGTAGATTCATCTTTATAGAAACTATATTCCAAACGATGCAATTTAACAACAAAGATATAAAGAAACAGACGTTTTCATACTTTGTGAGAAGTTCTGTGTCCAGACGTCAGTTCACTCCTTGATCTCTCTGATTGTAATGGTGATCTTTTATGAGATACTCTCAAACTATAATGACGCTCTTACATGAACAGATGTGGACCATAAAGCTGATAGAGCTCTCCAACAAATAATGTTGAAGTTGGAAGCTTAAATATTCTCAGTTAGCAAGTTCTTTTTTTTTTCTGAGCGTCCCCTCATACACCATAGAAGAGATTCATTTTCTATTATTGAAACAATATACGAATTTAATATTTCATTATGTAACATTTTTCGCAACAAACCCTTTTTCAAATCCAATGTAGATGAGATAGGAAATTGGTTTTTTTAATGAAGCTGGATTGTTCTAGCAACACTTGGCAACCTGATTTTTTTATTTCCGTTCAAGTATGCCGATCCCATATTGCGGTTTTTTTATTCGAACTAAACATGAAAAGAATGGTAGTATTTCGCATTTTTATTTCTATATGCATTGGTATTATAACGGCTATAAGTGCATCTGCAACAGTAAGAAACTTAAACATCAATACAGAAAACAATCTTACTTGACAGATTCTTTCGGATACTTTCCCTGATGAACTCCTTACTCGATGCCTCTTTGCTTTTCTGGCTATAATGTTTCTATGGGTATTTGTTGAAACGATCTTAAAGAATCCGCCGTCTCTGAAATTCTGGAGAGATTCAAGAATGATTCATGCCATGCAGGACAATACAGCAACTCATTATTGAACGAGATGCAGCTTACTAGTCATGAATTCATCATCGTTAGAAGATTAACCACAGACTTTTCTTCTGATTTCTTTCTTATCCTAGATGTTTGCCTTTATAATTTTTTACGAGTTCTGAAAGTTTTAGCTATGTTGCCTGTCATCTTGCCTTTTTCTGCCTTATCGATTATACAAATCATTAAACTTTAAATCAAAATCTCTCAAAAAATATAACAAGCGAGTTTAATCAATAAAACAGGGTTGAAGAAAATAAAGAAAAATCATATGAATACTACGTAGGGACTTGTTATAAATAAGAACAGATACGTACTATATACAGAAGGAACTATCGTAATCATTAAACAGCGGACAGTGGACAAGGAATTGATCTGAATGATAACAAACGAGGAATGGGGAGAGACTACAAAGTTCAGGACAACAGTACTTATTCCTGTTATGTCTAGAGAAGTGACCACTGCTGAGTATTAGTATCAGTATATGTTACTTACTCTTTCAGTTCAATCAAAGGCTGCACTGTATGCGACAATACCATGTAGCTCTTGTCAGGGTGTCAATGTCAAATGTAAAAGAGAAAAGATAGAAGTGAAAAAAATTTTTATTGCATTCCTAAATAGTATGTGAACTAAAAAATAAAATGTTCCTTGAAGAACAAGGATGCTAAAATGATTAGAATGATTATACAAATGTAATAGAAGTTTACAAAAAACAAGACTGGTTCACAGAGCTCGACTCATTGGAATGTTTTCTATACAACACAGCTACTGTATGGAATGTCGTTATCTGACTACTAATCTACATTAATTGTCGGCGGAAGCTTTTGTAGCGGCTCCTCTTGGGTAGTACTTGTCCAAAGTTGAAGCAGGAATACGCTTCAACATTTCACGTGGGAAGATTCTGAGCAATTGCCATCCGATGTCGAGAGAGTCGAAGATAGTTCTGTTTTCGTAGCTTCCTATAATAAATTTGAAAATTGATTGTTATACAGAAAGAATGTTACCTTGTGTGATAAAGTTCTTCTCGAATTTGATCAAGAATTCCAAATAGAGGAGATCATCTGATGAGAGAGCTTCTTCTCCGACGACAGCCTTCATAGCTTGCACGTCCTTTCCAATAGCATAACAAGCGTAGAGCTGAAGCTTTTTGTTTAGAAAATAGCACCATGGCAAAGTCACATACCTGATTGGAAACATCTGAGTGGTCTTCTCTGGTCATTCCTTCTCCAATAGCAGATTTCATGAGACGACTAAGAGATGGGAGCACGTTGATTGGTGGGTAGATTTGTCTGTTGTGGAGTTGACGATCAACGTAGATCTGGCCCTCAGTAATGTAACCAGTAAGATCAGGAATAGGGTGAGTAATATCTATAATATAAGAATGAATAAAAGAAAACAATTTAAAAGAATACCGTCATTAGGCATAGTAAGAATTGGAATCTGAGTGATGGATCCTTCACGTCCTTCGACACGACCAGCACGTTCGTAGAGAGTAGCCAAATCAGTGTACATGTATCCGGGGAAACCACGACGTCCTGGTACTTCTTCACGAGCAGCAGATACCTCACGAAGAGCTTCAGCGTATGAGGACATGTCAGTGAGAACGACAAGTACGTGCTTGTTGCATTGGTAAGCGAAGAATTCGGCAGCAGTAAGAGCGAGACGTGGAGTAATAATACGTTCGATGGTAGGATCGTTAGCCAAGTTCAAGAAGAGACACACATTTTCCATGGATCCTACAAACATATAAATATAAGTAAAACTTTCAAAAAATCTCACCGTTCTCCTGGAAATCTTGCTGGAAGAAACGAGCTGTTTCCATGTTAACTCCCATAGCAGCGAAGACGATAGCGAAGTTGGTGACCTCGTTCTTTCTGTCAGGCAATTGTACCAAACCTAAAATATTTTGTAAAATGGAACAGTGGGAATAAAAATTTACCTCCTTGACGTACAATCTGGGCAGCAATTTCATTGTGGGGAAGACCAGCAGCAGAGAAGATAGGGATCTTCTGTCCACGAGCAATAGAGTTCATGACATCAATTGAAGAGATTCCGGTTTGGATCATTTCCTCTGGGTAGATACGAGCCCATGGGTTGATTGGTTGTCCATCAATGTCCAAGAAGTCTTCAGCGAGAATTGGGGGTCCCTGTAGTTTAACATGCAAAAAATATACAAGCATTAAGAATTACCTTGTCAATTGGCTTTCCGGATCCGTTGAAGATACGTCCTAACATGTCTTCAGATACGGGGGAGCGAAGGATATCTCCTGTGAACTCGCAAATAGTGTTCTTGGCATCGATACCAGAGGTTCCTTCGAAGACCTATAACTTCAACATGCAAAGAAGCTTGAGCTTCGAAAAATTATACCTGTACGACAGCCTTGTTGCGGGTGATTTCGAGAACTTGTCCTGAGCGCTTGGTACCATCGGGAAGAGTGATGTTGACGATCTCACTGAATTGAGGGAACTTGACGTCGTTGAGAATAACCAAAGGTCCGTTTACACCAGTAACAGTCTTGTACACTGAAATACTCAAATATGATGTCGTTAATAAATGTTTAAACATACCAAGACGTGGCTTTGTGCTGTAGTTACGGATAGCAGCGGTACGATGACCAGTGATGGGAGTATCAACTTCAACGCGAGGCATTTTCTGAAAAAACGAACAAGTGTAATAGCGACATAACATACGTCCTGTAAGGAGAACAAAGATACATTATAATAAAAATTAATAAAAATAAATAATAAATATTTGTAGACACCGGCAGTTTAATGGAACTGAGCTGAATGAGTGACGAATGCAGGAATGAAGTGAAGTTCGATTGACAATTGGTCTTTCATCTCGAGTACAATTGGCGGCCAAATATCGTGGTGGGACGCATAGCGAGATTCGCATAGGCGCGCGTTTCAAATAGACCGCGTATGGCGCGTAGAAGGTCATTGATCTATCATGACCTATTGTAATGGTATTTATTGTATTTTGAATTTAAAAATTAAAATCAACAAACAATATAGAATATAAAAATGAAACTACAAATTATATTTCTTTTCGAATTGGTCCAACCTTCCAACAGGAAGCTGTGCAATAGCAATTTCCGATTAATATCCTTTATAATGTTTCGATATATGATACATCATTCATAGTTTCACTTGATTCTTCTTCTATTTAAGATATTCTTGAACTTGTTTGATTATTTGATGATTAATGATGGATGATCAGTAACAATGACCATGAATGATGAACACTTCAACGGATATCAATGTATCTTTGCCAATATAGTATATTAAATTCAATTGAGTTAATTAGAAAATGATTAATATAAAAATTAAAACTATTTATATGTGTATTGTAACAGCATATGCCTTTTCATGTTGTAATATCTCTTGTTGAGAAAATGTAATTCACGAAACAGCTGGCATTTATGTGAAAATCAATTGGCATAGCTAAGGATTATATATTAAAGAAACGAAAAGAAGTTAGTCATCTTTCACAGTATTCAATATATTCAATAATATATTCTTCTTTTCATTTCTATAAAATGTTCAATATTATTCAATCAATAATAATATTATCTGTTGTGTATATCAGTATTCTATCTGCTCGAGATATTGAACAAGGTCAGTTATGATAGCGCAAATAAGTTTGCATTGTATTATATTAAATACAGTATGATACTGAAAATGATATAATCCATATTAAGAGACCACCGCAATAGAAAAGTCATATAATCGTGCTAATATCTTTGTGAAATTACGATCCGCAAATGGTCGAATGATACTATTGATGTGCCGAAAGAGCATTGGTTGTCAAAAACTTCGAAAAACGGTAACAATGCTCTCATATAGCAATTATATAAATGATATTGTTTCTATTAGATACCTCAATGGATTAAAGAATATAATAATGAGAAGAATTATTCAAATTCTGAATTGATTCATTACTATTATTATCCTAACTTGGGAAAGGTTATTGATGATCATTTGATGATTTAATTTCAAAGATTTATAGAAGCTAGATATACTCAATGAAACAATCAATTCTCAAGAGCCTGTGCTGTCTTATGTTCTTGCATCGAAACCTTATATCTTTACCGGAGATGTATACAGTCAGGTATTTGATAATCTTATCAATTATTATGTTGAATTTTCAATGTTAGCAAAGTGTACTCAGTTGGATAGTAGAGATGGATAAGTATCATTTGATAGAACCATCAAACATTGAAGATGCTAAACAGCTACTTGATACAGATGGTCTAGAATCGAACTGTACACGGAAGTTTATTGTGTTTATGAATAACAGGAAGAAATGCCCATCAGATGACTGGCCAATTATTGCCAGGTAACTGCATGAACTCATATGAATGTGTTATTATATTGACATGTTGTAGATTAGCTTCTCGTGAACATAATATTACGGCTGTCTATATGCAATCACCTTTGCCAGCCGATATATTGGTAGCATTGTTCAAAAGAATGCCTGAATTGGATTCTTCTAGCTGCCAAAATATGTTTCTTATAACACAAGAAAGCTATTCAGTTCAATTGACTGATCATTCAGCCGAAGAAGTTTGAAAAGAAAGTTTTGAAACTTTTAGTTTTATCATTCAATTTAGATGTCTCTTGTGATAGACCAGCTTTTATCGGGAAATAATCAATCCTGTTCTGCCCTTCTCGATTCTTTCTGGTATCCAATTCTTCCACCGTTATCAGAACTTCAAATTCAATATTTCTCCGAAGAACATTTGCTTATGGAATTGGAACATAAAATATCATATGTATTGATAGGTGTCGCTGGTGGCTGTGCTGTTTGTACATTAGCTTTCAGTATATTTTGGGGATTAAACGGGGGAGCATTTGCTAAATAATAAATATTTCATATAATTAATATTTATTTTAAATTATACCATAACACATTGATAAAAGTCAAAATGATTTAAGTGAATTTGAAAAATTAAACTGTAGGAAGAGTTAACAAACTGAAATCTCTTAACTGATAAATGATAATCTCATAAAGAATGGTAATGATGAACTGATGGAGAGTTGAAAACAAAAAAAACGGATGAAACGATTGCTCTGTTTTATGATACACATGAAAGACTATTGGGTTGAAACGATCCAATCCCCATAGAGAGTAAAGATTGACAAATTCAAACAAAAAAAGGCACAAACATCAAAAATTCAAATAATTATTGTAAAAAAGGTTGGAACACGATAATGAGAGAGAAGAATATGATGAGAGAAACATGAGTTCAGGTTTGTTCCAATCCTTTCATTTCGTCATCCGGTTATTAAATTTGTATTCTATTCGAACGATATCCTTCATCGGCTATAATTCTATAGAACAAATGATGTCTAGTTTGAAAGTTATCTTACGGTTTTAATGCTGGAGCATATGTATCTGTGCTAAATTCATAGCTATCATCAACCGCTCTAGAATTTGGTATACAATGAAGCTTTGATCTATAATGAACTTACGGCTTCGTATAATGCAATCTTCGAGTAGTAACTGTTAATTTGCGAGCCATTTGTACTAGAGGAACAGAACAGACGGCTGTCAGGAAGATAGCTATGCTAAGGCCAATCTGCAAACGAACTCTACATGTTCGGTAATAAGTAGAAGGTTTTTGTAATCATGCTTATCTCTTTCCACGATAGGACCAGTGAAAACGGAAAAAACCAAAGAAAAATATCATCGATTGAAGATTAATCATCATTGAAACGTTGCAAGGGGAGAGACACTATTTTCGGGAATTGTTTTGAAATGGAAAAGGGACAAAGAGTGTGTCAAACGGTTTTTGAGCATTCATTCAACTTTAGGCTGATTACAGCAAAAAAAAGGACAAACTCACTAATGGATCTATGGTGTTGGTACAGAAACCATGAGCTGGCAGTTTGAGAATTTCAGTCACACTCGAACACGGTGCAAGCTCCGTTTTGATCTATAAAAATGATGTAATATGTTGAAATGCATGAAATAAAAACCTTGTTCTCAAGCCTTAAAATGTATTCATCAATAATCTGGATCAAATTACTGAGTTCGTTCTTGGTTTTACGACTTATTTCCGTTTTCACATCTGGGAACAATATTTTTTCCGCCCTTTTCACGTTTTTCAATGAGCCATCGATATTATTGGAAATTTTGTTTAAACTGAAAACATTCCAATATTGATTGAAATGAATATGATCAACTGACCTATTATGAATAGAAAGATTACTCAATATAACTCCATCAACTTTCTTTCTCAAGGGAGTTGCTAACCTTTTGTCAAAATCTTCTATCAGACTGATGGTCTGTAATCAGTGTTTGGATAATGTCTGCAAACTATATTATCATTACCGATTCCAATTGTTTCGATGATCCAAGGGACAGTCTCTCGATATCATCTCTCATCAAAGCTATCTTGTTGACAAAATCCAAGTTTTCATATTCTTTTTTGAGCTTAAAGAAAGAACGTGATTAATAGAATCAACTTGAAAGATATACTTTCATGATAATGCCGTTGTTATCCTCATCGAACTTGACAGTACTGGTTACTTCTAGTTTTTCCATTAATTCCGGTGAAATGAATAAATGAATTGGTGGTAACGTCAATTCAGGAAGTTCCGATAGTGATTGGGATAGGACATTCGTTAGCGTATCATACGATTCATTTTCTAATTCCTGCAAGAGAGAGAGAATGATTCGAATGAACCATTGTGCTCATCTGTACCTTGATTCTATCCAATTGAAGCTTCTTGTCTAAGCCAAATATAACAAAAAAAGTTTTGTTATCTCGACAGGCTTTTATGATTTCCGTTGTAGGCCGACTTTTCAAAAGGTCATACAAATCATTGTTGACACGTCCTTGAGAATGTAACTCTCCTATATAGCGCTCGACTAACTGAAATCAATTGGTTTTTTTTTCCTTTTTCGTCTCGACCATTCAGTTTAATTTGATTTACCGTAACAAAATCTGGTCGGTTTTCAGGCTGTTTCAATGGTTCGCAAACAATGTTCGATATATTGCCTGCTGTTAAAAGTAAAATAGGTGCCAGCCAACCGGTTAATATAATCAGCAGCATTTTACACCCTGTTCCACTGAAAAAGTTTCATCTCTTGTGTATGTCGTCATTTGAATGAACATACTATCGGAAAAATTTGGCGGATGCCACTTGACTACAACTGCTATCATCATATGTATGTGAACTACAAACATTCAGAATTGTCCCAAACAGAAACAGTACTGATGATGTGGCTAGCAAAGCACAGAAAACTGATAACACAATCCATCTTAAATGATGATAAAAAGTAATTAAATGAATATATATATATTCAATTGATAACTAACCCTCTCTTAATATTGCTTTTAATCAAATGATTAGGGTCATCTTTAAGAAGCATATCTATTGTTTTATAGGACGATTCCAAGTTAAACTATAACATATTTCATACATCTTAATGAATACTACAGTTGTAATACTTACTTTACGAACTTGATTAGATATACTTTCAAACATGACAAACAGATCATCACCGATCTTCTGCATGGCATCATGGAATTCTGAGAAACATTTGAATGAATTGACAACATGCTTCTTGACTTACTGGGATTTAGAATCTTCTTTTCGATCTCTCCTCGCAAAAATAGTTCCAAAGATGTTAAGTGAGCAACTGAAGTATTTCCAAGAGAATCTAATCCAGTATCAATAACTGTTTGAACATATTCAACTTTGTCATTCGAAACAATCTTCTGAAATGGATTGATGAATACAAAGGATGTATTCTAATTGATTGAGTATCAAGTACTTACCGTTTTGTTAATAGTAAGAGGATCGATCTGCCATCCATCTAACCGATCGAAGATTTGAATACAAGCTGTTTTGGTTAATCCAATTTCTTTTTCTGCGCATTCTCTTACTTCAACTAAAATCGTCTTCTTCAAACGAGCGAAATCAATCTAAGAGTAATATGAACAATCAGAAACCGCAAAAGCCGCCTGTTAGTAAAACCTGTGTCTTCTGGTGCAGGTCGTTCATGTCCTCGATGTCAGCATATAGCTTATTAATATCATGTAAAAGGATTTTCGAGTCTGAAAGTAATCAAAATGTTTCGATGCAGTAAAATGAACTAACCATCTCCCACTTGTCTTAAATCATCAATAGCTTGCAGTCCAGTGAATGTTTTAAGAGAGTTAACAACATTATGAGAGGAATTTGTCAATCGAGACACAATAGAAGCATTCATTCTTTGGAAATCATCCAAAAGAATAACTTGAAGTTGCTAGAAGTAAAGAAAGTTGAGAAGCAATTCATGATTTTCAAACCTTCTCATTCTGATTTCGATATAACAACAGATCGTCAAGTGATTGGCGGACCTTTGGACGTAATGTAGTATACCCATAATGTGAGTATTGAACCAACACAACACACGCTATGGCAGAACATCTGAAACATCATTAGTCAGGCATGTATTCGTTGAATAACCCACAAATCAATGAGCAGAAACACAATGAATGCTAATGTCACAACAGTACGCTTTTTCCTCTTTGTTCTCATGCGGTTACGAGAGCAGCAGACTGAGATGAAGCATGAGAAAAACCTGTAAACATGTTGAGTATGATGGATCAGTTGTATGATTAACCTATAGAAAACATAAAGAAGTGGTAATAAGACACTGGTGGCAATAGTTACAACAAACACGATGATCCATCCACGTTGCCAATCAATCCACTGAAAAAGAAGAAAATCAATTGAATAGCCTTATATGGTCCTTAAGATCAATATCTGTCATGATTGTTTGCTTTTTCAATGAAATGTTCTCGAAAAGAACTTTCTGTTTGATCTTTTGATTTCATTCAGATGCCGTTCGTGTCTTGTTATGTTAAGAATAACATAAAATCATCTGATCTTTCTAATGTTGTTTGCTCATCTCAACTTATATTAACCTTATTAGAACCGTTTATGTAAACAGTTGGTAGATGCATTGTCGTGTATCTCGACTTAGAAGTTAAACAATTGACTCATTTGTTTTAAGGATAATCGTATTTAGAATCAAGAGATGTTTGAATAATAGCCGATGGGCATTGAAAGCTAAAACTGTTTGTAATGAAGATTGTAATACCAAACGAATTATGCTTATTTAGGTCACTTTTTCCGGTTGACTTCTCTCAATTTGCTGAGCTTTTCATTCAACAAACACATTTCTTAAAAACCATTTGTTCACGAAACTTCTTTTGTCGGTCATTACAGTTATTTCTCTTTTCTCTCTTTTCTCTCTTTTTTGTTTTAAAAAGAAGAAGGAAGATGAGCTACTTGTCAAAAAGCTTTTTTTGACGTTGTGCAGCTTCATTGTTATTCTAAACTCAAAAACAGTGTGCGTTAAACAAATAATCATTGTAAAACAAAATATTCGCAATGATGAACAAATGAACAAGAATGGGCTTTTGAATGAGTCAGAAAATGATTTTTAAAACTGCAAATGTTTAATAGCAATGTACTTGACTATATTTGGATGTATTTTTCATAAAGCAAAAACTTGATTCATATGGAATGTTAAGCAAATAAGGAATGTGTGCAGGAGAAGTCACAACATCTACATGGTCATTGAACCAGTAAGCATATCATCATAATGCTATTCATCTCTTTCATCATCTATACATTTCTATTATAATTCAGAAATGGTTAGACTATTGCTCTTCTTTCTTTCATTTCTTTTTTTTTGTTTTATCTCAGTCAGTCATCTGGTCGTTTCAATTGAGAGATCGGTCTGAGTATTTCAATAGTTCCTCTTCTCCCTCACTTCTACTTTCACTCTCACTTAATGAGATATTTTCATTTGTCAGACAAATAATGAAAAGACTATGTTTAACTTGATTATCTCTTGTTAGCTAATAACCTCATTTGACTTTTAATTATATCTCACATGCATACCCATATAATCATCTTTCAAGTTCACATAGTACACATGTACTATGAAAGAGTATTATGTAAGAAACAGACCTTATTTGTATTTTTTTGAAATGAAGACAGTATATCGGATAAATTTCCAAATAAAGCTTGCGTTGTTAAGAGATCTAAAGAGATTAATAGATAATGGAAGGTAAAGGTAGAATGATAACATACCTGTATGAGGAAATGGATTAGATATCCAAGTTATGAATGAATGCATAGCATCTTTGCATTGAACAAATATTTCTGATGATTTCTCATCATGAAACCAATTAATAGACTCAAAATCTCTATCAGGAGTGGCTATTTCAAATTGAGATGAATATATTAGAATAGGACAGAGAAAGAGAAGTAATAAAGCTCTTTTCATACCCATTAAGTCATCCAATCAAATATCCGTTTGATCTGCCTGCAGACTATAACAACTGATACACAATTAACATTTTGAACTTATAATTCAACGATGAACAATAGAAACACAGTTATATCATAATAATAATCAAGTTCATAGTAAAACAATGAGATGTTTGAGAGTGTTTTTGGGAGTCAAGAAACGGTTGAGATGAAAAAGAAAATGATGTCAGATGCGACGATGAAGCATTACACGTCCTCTGTATTCGGTCACCGCATAGCTGAATAGAGTCTCGTTGGACAAAGTAAATGAAGCAGAGAGATTCAGAAAACATTCTGAAGAATGTAGAGATAAACTATATCGGTAAGAGTACTTAGAGACAGAAAGAAGAAAGGTTGAGAGAGAAAATGTACAAGAGATGTGACTGTATTCGTACTGTTGTCCATGTTTGATCTAGGGAGGAGCTTCGCGCAAATCGGGTGTACGCAAAAATCCACTCTACACGGAACCGTCATATAGGGTCAGTAGTAGAATCAAAGAAGGAGGAGGGGGGGGGTCGCTAAGAAGACGTTTTAGATGTTCAGTGATGATCGCCGACTCTCCTCTGAGGGAAATGTTTTAGTAAAGGATGACCAAGACCGTGAGGATGATAAATTTGAGACAATATACCTAAAGAAAAGAACAAGATGAATAGTATGCTATGACAATACAAGGTCAAATAAGGTGATATATTTTCAAATGTTCTAAAAAGGATTTTTAAATGGGAATACTATTATCAACATTATAATTAAATGTAAATCTATTTAACATGAACCATTATCCACTTCACATCACAACTTAAATCAACAATTTTCAAAAATGTCTATATATGGCAATGACTCTCTCTCACACACTCACTTTTCTTATTTGAATTACATTCTGATGCTAAATCGGCTCCAATGCGAAAAGTGATCTTGAAATGTCTACCTTTAACCAAAAAAATACGCGACACAATAAACATCGTCGATTACTGTAGCGCAAATGTTCTACATGTGCGATAAACCGTTCAAACTTTTAAATTTTCTTTTTTTTCCAAATGAAATCTCAGTTAACCTATTTATGGTTGCAAAAAAAAATTTTTCTCAATTTCACATTCCATTGATATGTGTTTGATGAGTGGGGAAGATACGTTGAATTGATAAGTTGAATATGTATTTTTCTATTTTAAGCTATATAATATCATCTGGCACTAATAGAATAATAATAACAAAAAGATTTACATATGGCACAAGGTGTTTGAGTTGATGACAGACGACAGTACAAGACCAGAATTCAATATTGTTCAATCGATTAATGGCTTTAAAAGCTTTTTACGGTTGAGTCAGGAGATTTTCAAAGACAGCAAAAAGCTATTGTTTATTATTGTAGTATACTTTTTTTGTTTTTCTCTCTCTCTCTCTCTCTCTATCTCTCTCTCTATCTCTCTTTCTCTAGCTCTTTATTTTTCCATTTATCTACGTATCTCTTTTTCTTTCTTTCTTGCTGAATGTGATTTAGTGCGAAACGAAAGAATGATGATAGATGAGCTGTAAAAGAAAAAAGGAAGTGAAAAAAGCGTTTACTTTTCCTATTTTCTTTGTCTATCGTATTTTAAATGTTAAATGAGCAGACGTAACTAGTGATTGCGAATGTAACATTATTTATTTTAATTTCAGTAATTGTTCAATAACCTTGTTACTATTTCAAATTGTCTTTTATAACTTCATTTGTTTCAAATACTTAATGGTATTGCTTTTTGACTATACCATTACCTTCCAGTTTTATATGCTTCATCATTCATTCAATGCTCTATTCCACTTGATATAGAGAAAACTGACTGTTGATTCAAATGCTTTTCATCTTTCTCTTCATCATTTTTTTGTATATTTTTAAACTTTTTTTCTCTGACACAGACATACATACACACATATCTACACACATATACACACACATACACACGTGTTCAATGAAACATTTGAAAAAATCAATTTTTTGAAACAGTTGTTTCATTGACGATTTCAAAGACTCATTTCATAACATATCGTTTATTGATTGAAACATCATCGATGCATATGTTTTTATATTATAAAAAATAAAATAACTAACTAACTAACTAATATATATATTTCATTATCTTTCATTATAATTCAACGGAAAATGAGACTCGTTTTTCGTATTTTACTTGTCGCAACCAATGAATACAATCGTGACTCTCTTCTTCATATGCACTATTTCAATATCATCTCTGTTGATTCCCTTGTACACCACGCTGTTTGATATTTGTGCGTGTCATTCACACAGCGCAGTCTGAGCGCACCTTTCGGCGCATCACGTTTATTCTCTAACCAATATTAATCTTGAAATCGGTTCTAACATATGCGCAAACGAGAACAATTCTCGTTAATTCCATATATTCTCATATGATTGTGATTCAAACAATCAATACCAAGTCATAGCATCAGTGAAATTTTGAAAAAAAAAGAACTTTTTTCCTTTCATTTCTTTTTTTTTTCACAAAAATGCTTATCAAATGAGTCATAGTGTTGAACTCGATCATACCTATCTAGTCAAACAAAGGATGATTTGCATTTCTCCATTCTTGTTCATCGTTATAATTATCATTTGTAAAACATTTTGTGAATCGTTATGAAAAAGTTATAAAATAGCAATATGCGGGGGCTGGAAGTGAGAGAGGGCTGTGTAAGTGAGAGATAAGATTAGACATTATTCTCATTTGTTTGTTAATTATTTGGCTGCTTTTCTAATATCATTCCATATGTTTGAATCATATCGTTCATCTTATATTATTAGATAATTTTAGCTGGAAGAGGAACTCTTATGATTCCTTGTGCGCTAGGGATACAGCTCATCTTGTATTTTATTTTATTTAATATTGTAAATGCTGACAAGTTCAACTTGAATGTATTGCGATTGAAGAATCTCGATCCGGAGATACAGGTATGTACTTACTTTCATTTTTCTCCTTTTTATTTCGTTTGCACAAGATAGAAACGGTTTTTTTTTCTTCTTCTAGGTTATCGCCTTCGACGTCAACCATGGGTCTATTGCCTTGGGTTGCTCCGATAGCATTTTTATCTATGAAAAGCTAGAGCAATCATTTAATAATAGTAAACTAGTTGGAACTGTAGCTCTTCCGCAGCCAATATCTTCGGATGATGGTTTCTTAGAATTGAAACTCATAGGTCCGCAGCAAGTGCTGTATTGCGATCGATTTCAATGCCGGTAAATGATTCAAAAATGACAATTCATGACTCACTTCCTCATATCAGATTATGTACAGTTTCATTTATCAATGCGTCTTGCTCAACACTGGAACTGACGCTAAACGGCGAGACATTGAACAATATGGAGAGTGCATTCTTATCAAGTCGCAGTTTTGATAGAATTTTTCTGCGCATTGCGCATTCGTCGAGTGATGGAAACAAAGCAGCAATATTCTCATTTGATATTCAAGACACGGGGTTGGTGAAATTTAAAATTCAAATAATAATAAGAATAAATTGATAGTGACATTTTAAGTTTACTCAAGCCGGATCAGATTGCTCCTGATGCTGATTATATACAAAACTTACACACTGTTGCTGCTTTCTCCCATGATTCCTTCTCATTCTTCATAACATCATCACTCCAACCTAATGAGCCACTGATATTTGCTAATATCCCTACAGGAAATTATTCCATGCTTAAGATTACAAGGTCTTTCTGATAACACTTCTTCCTCATCGAGCAATCTGTTTTAGAATATGTGAAAGTGATAAGACAAGGTTCTTGGAGTCAAGGATCGATCATTCGTTACATTGCTCTGATCCTGGTAATTCGATACGAGCTCTATCAATTCACAGAAAAGTGTTTCAGAAACATTTGTCAAAGTTGAAGCAGCTTATCATGACAAACTTGGTGGACGTCTCTACATAGCAGTTCTTCAAAAAAATGTTAGTCAAACATCTATTTCCCTGTATTAAATTCTTCTTCTTCCTCTTCAGAAAGAACATATCATATGCTCATATAATATGAATGAACTTAACAGAGAAATGACTAGAACATGGGATGTTTGTCAAAATGTTACACTGTTTGACGTTAGTCGTGTAAGTTTATTAAAACAAATATGTTTAGAAAATGTTTTCAATCAATTTATAGCATTGTCAAATGGTCAGATCGGCAGATGAACTTCAAGAACATTGCTATATATTCACTAGAGCTGCTGAAAACTATCGCAGTCAGAGTTGTGTCAAATTCGGATTGGTTTACCAATAATCATGTTGAATATGATGAAATATGTTTTTGTAGAGCGACGAAACGTATGATAATTGCAAATTGAATGAAGTTCAATCAAGATCTTATCGTTATGCTTGGCTTGAAAATTTCAAACCAATCAAAGGAACGATAGTTGCAAGGATTAACAGAGGCGAGATTGGATCCATACTTGCAGATCATATACACAATGCTTTGTTTGTTGGAGTTCGATACAACAAAGAACAAGATATAATAAGAGTATGCTTGATATTACCATAATTGGTTGTATGTTAAATGTATTTCAGATCTTGATGGATACTAATGCTTTAAAGAAAGCGAGTCGAAGTGTTTGGCAACAGAAAACAGCATATTCAGCGAGAGTTCCCATAATTAGTTCCAATGAGGGAACACAACTATTCTATTTGAATAGAACAAGTGTAAGTATAATTGATTAATTCAATTGAAGAGTCCTTATACTTAGATTGCTAAAAGCAAACTGGATTGCCAAAGCTTGTATACATCGTGCTCAATGTTAGAGAGAGGTTTTTAGTAGATTTTCTAATTCAATTTATTGATACAACTTATTAGGAGGATTCCATGATTCTCTCGGTTGCATCTGGTGTCCTGATCCAGAGAAACAGTCTGCATTGTCTGCAACCAATAAATTGGGATGCTCGCAACCGTTAAGCAATGTTTGCCCACCTATTATTGATCATGTAATTGGCTATAGAAAATGGAACAAAAATTTCTGTTTGTTCAGGCAAATAGAGACAGTGGTGCATTGGATTGGCAAGTTTTCGGAAGTAATCTCTTGAGACTCGAAAAGTCCGATGTTCTCATTTGTGGAATGAAATGTACTGTTAACAGAACAGCTTCAACTAACTCAAAGTGAGTAACCCTTCGAGACACATACTCTACGGATCATCATTACAGATTACAATGTTCTTTAACATCAGAACAAGATTATAACTGTGACGTGAAAGTTATTGGTATTCTGGGAGAACATAATCAATTCATCATGAAAGCGCCTAAGATTACAAGCAGTGTTATACCTGAACGAATGGACGCACAGAATAAATCGCTTTCAAAGTAAGCATACTGCAGCCGATTCAGAAAAATAGTTCTTTCTTACAGGGGAGACAAGGCAATCATTGCTATTAGTGCTGTCATTGTGTTAATCATAGTATTGGCTTTAATAATTTATTTCGGTCGGCGTTTAGTACAACAGGTATATTTCATTGATCATTTAATGACCATTGCATATTTAGAGAGAGAAAAGGGATCAACCTTTGACATTCCCTCTTGGAACATTCGGTGAGTATCTGTTCAAAGAGATAATTCTATTAAATTCTGTTATAGATAGAACCGCATCAAGAGATATGGATTCTGTTAGTCAGAACTACTATCTGGATTTATATTCTGTGAAAGTGCCATCAAGATATAAGATAGATATCAACGATATTAAAGTTGAAAGACTCTTAGGAAAAGGTAACAACTCATCGACTACATAGTTAATCTCAATTACGTTACAGGTGGATTTGGAACTGTAATGTTAGCAATTCATCAAGAACAAAGAGTTGCTGTAAAGATTATGTCAAGTAAATTCACATAGTTCTCTGTAAAAATATCATTGATAATTCAGGTGATGCTACTGATCATCAGAAGTGTTCTGAGTTTTTGGAAGAAGGATTGATATTAGCCAACTTTGATCATGAGAATGTATTGAAACTGATTGGAATTGCTTTCATCGATAAGCCTGCCATTGTCATGGAATATATGGAAAAGAAGGACTTACACACCTATCTTAGACAAGAAGATTTGGTTCATATTATCTTTGTTCTCATTTAAATCAACAAATTCTTTTTAAGCAAGTTACATTGAAAAATCTGTTGAACTACGCCATAGGAGTTGCAAACGGAATGGCTCATATACACTCGAAGGGGTATATCCATAGAGATCTGGCAGCTAGAAATTGCATGTGAGTATCTTGATCACTATCTTCAGAATTTATCATAATCTTGCCATTTTCAGATTGAATTCAAATGATGTTGTTAAAATAAGTGACTTTGGTATGAGTAGAGAGATTGAAGATGGAACGTACTTCATCAGAAATGTGTCTCGTAAGCTACCCATTAAATGGATGCCACCTGAGGCTATGATGAACAATAACAAAGTATGTTTTAAAAAAATATATAAATTTCTTATATACTACTTCAGGCTGACACAAAGTTAGATGTATGGGCTTACGGAGTAGTAGTTTGGGAAATTATGACACGAGGTGGAGATCCATATGACGGTATTGATGGAGGAGATTTGAAAGATAATATCTTGCAAGGATATCGTCTAGAAAAACCAGAGTACTGCCCAGATCAAATGTGAGCTTGATAATATGAATGAAAACTAATTGAGACACTTTATAGTTATAATGAAGTCATGATGATGTGCTGGAAGTTAGATCCCACCGAAAGACCGCCATTTGATGAGCTAGTCGCAATCTTAAATAAAATACTTATAGAAATGGGAGCGCGTCAGAAGAGTGCCCTCGAGTTTCATTATCAACGGGTACGCTAATTGTTGTTTCCATGTGTTTGAGCATAGCTTGATAACTGTTCAACGGAGTGAAGAGCGAGCAATAGAGCGTTATGCATCTTTGTGAACTTTGTTTTTTTTCATTTTTGCTTGTTTTTTTTTTGTTTTTTAATCATTTTCCCTTTTAAACGACTTTGTGAGAGTGAGAAGAGCATGCATGAGTGAACTTGAACTTGCCGTCTAGTCTTCGTTTGCTTTCAACTCATCTATGTGTCCGTCATTCTTTGGTAAAAAAATACCCAAAATGTTATTTTTAGCTCACAGACTGTTATGAAAAACCATAAATGGCTGCATAGAGTGTCAGCTCAATATATAGTGTATAGTGTGGTTGTTGGACAACACAACGTTCAGCTCAGTTCCGCATGGTCTCTAAAACAAGCCGATATAATTCATTAAGTTTTAATAATTGTTAAATTGCATCGAAAATTCAATTAAACAACTTCACTTGCCATATTGAATGCCTAACAAACCAAGTGATCTCTGTCTGTTTCCCCACCCCCCTTCCTGTGATTCTTTATGTTTAATTGTGATTGTTACAAAGAAATTATCATTGAATGAAGATTTATAATACTATATCTTATATACTATATCATATAAGTTAGCTATCTTAGTTTGATAGATATACATACCTTTATTATCTTTTTTTATTCTTTTCGGTTTTTTCTGTTCTCTCATACTCTCTGTTTGATCTTTACGTAACCTAAAAGTACGATGACGTTTCTCTTTCTCTCTTCTCTCTGTACAACATCTCACCGATTGTATATATCTGTATCTCTGTTACACTCTCACTTCCATATAATCATTCATCTAGTTTTTTCATCTCGTTTCTTGTAACAATTCTGTGACTTATTGATCATGCGCCTCATTGCCAATCACTTTGCGCAGAGTACTTCAATTTTTCAACATTTTTTCAATCAATACGATTGCGCCAATTTTTCAGACCAAAAAAAAAGAGAAATAGAAGAAGATTTAGGTCAAATATGGATTGAAAAAGGATTCAAAAGGTGTTCGATTCATATGAAAAACAGTATGAGGAACTAGTAAGCGATAGATCAAAACCATTTTTTCAATTTTTACATTATCATTTGTTTGACTGAAATCTTTTGCTTAAAAGAGATAGTATTAAGAAGGAGATGGAAAATTTTCATAATAATCTGATAGATTTTATCGAAACACGCCACCTTTTTCTTAGTTACGGCGATTATTGCTTTTGTTTCGTCTGCTGTCCCAAAACACTCACGAAAAATCTCGCCATCTGGCCACACTATTATCTTTTTGATGGCGATGACAAAGAGGGAAAAGAGAAATGGAAAACTGATGAGAGCGTTTACTGTGATAACGACATAGTTCACTGTTCATCCATTCTGTTTTCTCTTTGAATTCATGAATTGTGAGTTATATTTGTGTAGAAGGCTGGCATGTTTTTTTTTCGTGTCTACTCATTTCTCTCTCTTTCTCTCTTTCTCTTTCTGTACCTCTCTCTCTCTCTTTGTATGTAGTCCGAAGAGGATGTATGACAGTTAACGATTTCGAGGCTCATACAAACATTTTTGAACTTGATGTATCTAGAGTAACCGCAGTAGTAGTTGATCATCTGTCTGTTGCGTTATTGGAATTTCAATGAAAAGGAGGGAACCAACTCATTTATCTTCAGATTTTGAGAAATTCTTCATTCATTCTTTGATTCCACTATCGTTTGTAAATCTTTTTAAGATATTACAAGCTCAGATATAGATCTTACATGATTCATCTCTATGTTAGAAAATGGAAATGAAATGAAGAAAAGAAAAAAAAAGAATTTTTTATATATGTTATTATAGTATATTTGAATGCTCATTACAATAGGACATTTAGTCATTGAAGCATTGAGTATATATTCTCATATAAGCTTTTTATAGTTGCTTAATATGCTTTTGAGAAAACAATAAAATACAAAATAATGACTGAAAATTGTAATGATGAAGCATATATAATAAGTATATTTAATAGGTGCTTACCATCATCTAAAATGAACATCCTATCGTTCAATTTCATTTATATGCTTTCAACATATGGCCTATTAAAATGAAAATGTGAATACGAAACGATAGAAAGTGTATTTTCAATAATACATCTATTTGCATATGCATATGCATGTGATTGTTTCGCTCTTTTTGACTTTTACCTCTCAAATTCTTCGAATAACTTGATAACCAAGATGTGCGTGTGTGTGTGTGTGTGTGTTTGTGTGTGTGTGTGTGTTTCTATGTGTGTTTGGTGGTGTGGATGTAGTTCAATCTTTCATTCGGATGAAGAAGAAGAAGAAAATGAAAAAAATGGTTTTCTTTAATCACCCCATCGCAATTATTTGTGTTCAGACATATAGAGATAATATGAATGAAAGAGAGTATGAGACTGCTTATTCTCTTATCAACCATATAAGGAAATATAAAAAATTGGATAGGATATGAGACTTTTTATCAAAAAGCAAACATCATCATTGCCTTTTTGTATAATTATTATAAGCAAATCAGACGATTCGCAGAGAAAATATTATTTTCTTCTATTTGAAACACAAGAAAAAGAATGTTTCTATCGTAAGCGATATGATAAGACATAGAGAATGCAAAATGAATATTCATATTGTGTTCTAATGTTTCATTCTTGATAACAATGACGTTCATGGAATCTTTTTCTTCTTCTCTTCCATAATTGTCCAGTCTCTCTCTCTCTCTTTACATCTCTCTCTCTCTCTACATCTCTCTTTCTATCCCAAAATATATTTATATACGTATACAAACATATCTCACAACACAAAGAATATCCTTTTAAGCTTCTTTTTCATTCCTTCTTTCTTTTTCTTTTGTCAGTTTTGTAACTCTCTCTCTCATCCTTCTTCCTTTCTATTCTCGTCACTTCATCTATTCCACGTTTTTTTTTCTTTTTCAGCTTCTTGGTTTCCAATATGGACAGGCCGTATCTTATTTTCATTTCAATATCTTCTTGTTTTCTTCTTCAATTCAATTTATACTTCAGGATGAAGCAATCAACATAGAGAGAGATACTCACATTGCCATCTTTGGCTATTAAACTTCACATGATAGTCAATTCAGCTGCTCTTTTAAAGTACTTTGAGTTGTTGCAATCAAAAAAATTGGTCGCATCTTTCTAAAACGACATAAACGTCCGCCAAGGGCAATTTATCTGTAGCTTGCTGAGAAAAAATGCAATCTAAGCTTCAATTTCCATTATTTATATCAAAATGTTCCACACTAGGCTCTAGTTTACTAAGCTACGCTGAAAACTAGTCAAGCTCATCTATGCTACCTTCTATTGAATAGCTGTTAGGCAGATATATATTTATATTTGTTAACGAATCCCGCATTCAATTAAAATCATTTTTAAATGATTTGAATCATCATCATCATCTTCTTCTTCTTCTTCTTCTTCCTTTTTTGTTTCGTTCTATCAATATGATAGAACAGAAATCAATGAATTTCTTGTTTGCTATCGCTTCAAATGCTATCATTCTCTATACTTTTCATAAATCATCATTCTCGCTATTAACCTTCACCGTCATTAGTTTCAACGATAATTGACTTTTATGTTTTCAGTGACATTCTCATCTTGACTTCAACTTCCCCGTAGTTCGTAAGTTTCTCTATTATTCTTACAAATCTTTGTAAACTGATAACAACTTTGGAGAAGGTGAAACACAAAAAAAAGCTTTCTACGACTACATTGAATCTGATGAAGAAGAGTAATGAATGATTGAAGCATAGTATTGAGAATTCCTTTTTCTTCTTTTCTTCCTTATTTTCCATTTCTCGATTCCCTTTTTTTTTGTTTAAAACATCTTAAGCATTCTACGCAAGTAACAGTTTCCATTTTGGATGATGAGACTTTCATCTCAATTAATAATATGAGTATGAGATCTTTAGATTTATGCTGTCTCCTTCTCTCTCTCTATCCTTCTCAGCCAACTCAATTGAGTTACATCCGATGTCTCATCAGATTGTCTTTGCTTCATTCAATATACTTTGAATGTAAAACAATTTCTCATCATTAATCTCATTCATAACAAATCAAGGAGAATCAATTGAGTTATGACAAAGTGCTTTCAACATTCTTCTTCTCTCATAGCTCTTATGATGAGTTCAAACATAAACACAGCAAGCTGATGCTAAAGGCAGTCATTCATAATCATTTCTCTCATATTGAATGCAATCTTATTTATATGAGAAAAAAAATGTATTATATACAGTTGACCATATGATATAGTTAGTGAAGATGTCATCTTAATAATTGATTCAATGTACCTAGTGCCAAAGATTCTATTGACCTCTATAAACCCGTTTTGACTTTTGATGCGTTTCAATGACAACATTCATGCTCGACAGATATAGGTTTCACAGTTTATATTTTCATCTAAGCATTACATACCACCACGTTTAGCATATATAAACAATACATTGTTATTTTAAGTAATTTTTTGTTATGTAAATGCAAACATCAAGTTCCACTTGGATATTCAATGATGATGACGTAGAATACATGCCCTTCTCCAATTATTTTGAACATACTTGTCAGATGAACAAATATTTCGAATAATAGATGCTCGAATATTGAACATTTGCTTCACTGACCAAGATATAATGTATTTCTCTTTCTTTTAAAGCATTCAATGCTTAGAGATCTCAACATACGTAATAATCCACTAACAAGGATTATAACTCTAACCCCCCCCCCCCTCTTCTCTCTTCTCTTCCCTCCTCACATCTTTCTACTTTCTTCAGCCAGATTTTCTATCTTTTGAGCTTTTTCATTTATTTATAACATACATTCAGTTTCAGACTTCTTCTATGTTCTTATAATCTTACTAATGACCATTTGTTGATCAATCGAAAGTAGCTAATGCACTACGAATGTTCATTTCTAATTGAACGATCTCATTTACTAATTGTTTTCAAGCTGCGAAAGTCGTTCATATCTCATAATGATCATCGTATCCAGCTGTTCTTTCAAATGGAATATTCTTACAACATCTCCTTCAAAGGCCATCGAATCTGTTGTAACTAACCCTTGTTCATTTCTAACATCTGGTCCATATAGATCTCATCATGCTCGATTCCCATACAGTCGTGTTTCTTTTCTCATACTTTCAATATGCTTTTTCAAAATTTCTAAACTCCATTCTCTTTTCTGATCATTAATTTCTCGGTCTCACTGAAACGAACCTCCTGCTATAGTATCTATTCGTCAGTTCTTCTTCTTGTTCATTTTTATTTTTTATTTTTTGACTTTTCATCCCTTTTATATGATTCATATGTCTATTGCATCCCACTTAATGTTTCATCGTTACTTTCATTTCATTATATGTTTTTCATTTTGAACATATCGTTCGGACATTTTGAGTTTTCATTTGAAATGTCCTTCTCATCCGATCTTATCCACCCAAATCTTTTCTGAATATTTTGATATTTATTAGAAAATTTAACGCACTTCCGGTCTGAAATTCAGATTATGTTCTCTGATAATGTGAGAGTCATACGTTTAATTTTAACTTAAGCCTGCTTTCACTAGTTCAGAGCCCTTTTTCATATAAAAAATCAGGAAAAAAATTTTTTTTTTGAAGTTGTAAATCTGCTAAGTATTCTCTCTCATTTCTGAATCATTCAATACCTCACTGTGGAAAACCTTTTCAGGTACCGAAAGTGCGATTAGATAATCAAGAAAGCTTTTAAAACGCGCTAAAGTACAACTTTTGGCGCGAAATGTTTTTTTGAATTTTGGGTCGGAAAAAGTGACAGCGAGTGAATCATATTAAAACATATTATTTGTTTAACGTTCTTCTTTTACTGTTAACTAGTTTATTTTTTTAAATTATGTTTATTAAGGGTTCAGGATGGATAGCGCAAGTGCTCATTCCAAGTTGGCAAAGCCTGACAACGTCAAAATTGGTTATTACTGTCCTAGCTATGAATTGATGAGTGAATATCAAGTTCATGATTTTCGTAAAAGTGTTGAGTCAAGATACAATGTGACATTACGTGAGTTTACCTTGACTGAAAATAGTTTATAAGAATACTTTCAGCTGATTACAAAAGTCTTCATAGATGGAGCTGTGATAACTACTCAGACTTCTGGGAACACTTGATGGAGTACACTAACATCTACTTAGGTAACCGTTACAGCCAGGTAATATTTTAGATAAGTTTTTATACTTATTTGTATAATCAAAGGTGATCGATCTCAAAAAGTCAATTGCTGACTTCCCATGTTGGTTTGAAGGATCTACATTGAACTATACTGAGAACATCATTGAACGCGGTGAAGCTTCTCGAGTTGCTATTGTTTCAGTCCGTCAGTTACACTTACAGTTAAGCATTAGATGAGAAATATTTATTACAGAGTTCATCAATGAGGCCATGGTTCTCACAGAGAAAACTTATAGTGAGCTTCGTAAAGATGTATACTGCTTAGCTAGTTCTCTCCGTGAAATGGGTTTGACAGTCAACATCGAAGTTCAAAGCTAACTGTTATTTATAGGATTGAAAGTTGGAGATCACGTCTGTGGGTATTTGCCAAATACCTATTTCACAACTATTGCCATGTTTGCTACCGCTGCTATTGGAGCAGTCTGGTGTTCCGCTTCTGTCGATTTCGGTCCAAATGGAGTTTTAGATCGCTTCAAGCAGGTTTGACTTCAAAACGACCAGTAGGCTAATCAAAACATTCTCACAGGTGAAACCAAGAGTTCTCTTTGCTGTGTCTTCTGTTACGTACAAACGTAAACGTTTTGATCTGACCGATAAGTTGAAGCAAATAGTAGAAGGTTCTTATTCTATTCTAGAAGTTTCTAATCTCGGCTTTGCAGGTCTGCCTTCTTTGGAAAAAGTCATTGTTAACCACTGTGATGAATATAAAGTTGATCATGCGAGATACAACAATGAAAAACTGTTTGTTAACATGGATGAGTTCATCGTAAAACCAGACACTGGTCATCCATTGACTTTCATCTACGAGAGAGTAAGAATAGTTTGAAACCAATACTTTGAACTTTTGAAACTTTAGGTCCCATTCAATCATCCTCTCTTCGTTATGTTCTCAAGTGGAACAACTGGACTTCCAAAAGGAATTGTTCATTCACATGGAGTATGATGAATTATTAATTATGACGATCAAACATCAACATATTTCAGGGAACTTTATTAAAACACGTTGAAGAGCATATCCTTCAAGGAGACAGTAGTGAAAATGATCGAATGCTTTTCTACACTACCTGTGGCTGGATGATGTGGAATTGGTAGTTACTAAAGTGCTAACTATCTTCTTATACAAATATCTTATCAGGACAATGAGTTTCTTGTTCTGTGGAGGATCTTTGGTTTTATACGATGAGAGCCCTCTGGAGCCTGATACTCATGTTCTCATCAAGGTAACCAGTCAATAAACTAGAACAAATGTTCATTCATTTTCAGATTGCTGTGGCTACTAAATCAACTGTAATTGGTATGGGAGCCAAGTTGTACGATGAATACACCAGACTGAAAATTGACTTCCGTATCTAAACAATTCTCTCCAAAATCTCATGTTGATGTTTTGCAGAAAGTATGTACGATCTCAGTAAGCTTCGCTTGGTTTATTCTACCGGCTCACCTTTGAAATCAGCCACTTTCGAATTCATAAACCTCTGTATTAAACCTGGAGTGAGTTTAGTTTGAAAATATTTTCGAATCGCTTTTATTTTAGGTACTCATTGGCTCTATATCTGGAGGAACAGACATTATTGGATGCTTTATGGGATCAAGTCCTACATTACGTGTTTATCCTGGCGAGTGCCAATGCCTTTACCTTGGAATGGACATCGTTGCTTTCGATCCTGAGGGTAACTATTCGTTTGAAGACGAAATAAACATTTCAAATTCAGGAAAGTCTGTTGAAGATGAACAAGGAGAATTAATCTGTCTCACTCCTTTCCCATCAATGCCTACTCATTTCATCAACGATGAAAACTTCGCCAAGTATAAGAAAGCTTATTTCCAGAGGTTTGTGGCTTATATACTTATATATATTTTTCATCTATCTATCAAGATTCCCTAATGTCTGGGCTCATGGCGATTTCTGCCAGATAAACAGTGAAACTGGAGGCGTTGTTATGCTTGGAAGGTTTAGAAATAGTTAGAAAACAGCTAAACGTTTTTATTTAGGAGTGATGCCACTCTCAACCGTGGAGGTGTTCGCATCGGAACAGCTGAGATCTACGCCGTTGTTGAAACCTTCGATGAGATTGAAGATAGTATAGTTGCAGGCCAGCAAATGTATGGAAGATCTGTTTACATGAACTGTATTTCTTTCATTTCAGTCCACAAAAAGAAGATGAAGACATCGTTCTCTTTGTGAAAATGGCCAATGGAAAGCTTCTTGATGATGTTTTAAGGAAATCAATTTGTGCTTCTATTCGCACAATGATGTCCCCACGTCACGTTCCAAATAATATATTCTCAGTAAATGACATTCCGGTGAGTTCATTTCATATTTCAAACAGTTGAATGAATCATTTCAGTACACAAACTCTGGAAAAAAGGTTGAAATAGCAATTAAGCAAGTAATCAATGGCGCGGAGGTTTAAACATGCTCAAATAATTGAGAATAATTTTTTTCTTTAGGCTGAACAAACATCCTCCATTCGCAACCCAGAGTGCTTAGCTCTTTATCGCAACTTTGTGCAATCAACTAAAGCGAATTGAAACAATTCTAAGTTGATAAGACAAAAAGAAAAAAAATAGATATAGCTAAATCTAAATAGCTTTTTTTGCGTCGCTCGCCGATTCCTTTTTAAATATTTTATCTTTTTCAAGACGTCTCTCTTAACCTGTGCATGTTTCAAAACCATTCGCAACACTTGATGTGATGTTGTACCGCATTCAGTTAGAAGAATCATTTCATTATGCTTGCTAAGAGTTTCTTAGCATTCTTTTAGCAAGAAGCTTAGATATACGCAGTTCTGCATCCTTTATGTAATTTGTTTTGTTCTTCTCTCTCAGTTTTGAACTTTTTTTTTCCTTTTTTCTCTTTTTTTTTTCATTTTGCTGAGTACATGCCTACGACTACTAATCATAATCCTTCCTCTTAGATTTTAGTTGTAGTATCAGTGTTTCTGGCTTGATTATAAATTTTTCTTTACATTTAATGCTATTTATTTAAAAATACACATATGCACATGCACAGATATAGATCTGATTAGTGATATTCGAAAAATAAGTTGAATTTTTGAAAAATTTAGAAAAAAATTGAAAATAAATTGAGGAAATCAAAATAAATATAAATATCTCTCTATCTACATACTGTATATATCGTTCGTATATCGTTTCATAACTTACAGATCTACTGCATCTGTTCTGAACTTCATATCACTCTCGATATCATGATCATCGGCTGTTTGAAGATTGCGGTATGTGAATGGAGCTGGAGCAGGTTGTTTATGAAAGCGATGCTGCACATATTTACGATAAACTATATAGCATAGCGTGAAGAAGAAGATGGCAGCACAGACTTTGTAGATCTGAAAAGATGTTCCTTAAAAACAGGGATAACAAGACCGCTTGCCCAATTGAAAGGAGAAATTGTTAGAGTTGTATCCCTGATTGAAGCGCAGTTAAGGAGTTCTCTAATTTCGGATATTTTGCGGTGCTTGATGGTGTCGGGGTAAGCGCATCTGCAACATAGGGTTGTCATTAGTAGCTTTTTATGATTTCGCTTTTCTACGTTGGTGAGGTAAATTGATTAAAGTTTTTGTGTTCCATTTCGTTAGCTATGAAGAAAAGATAGCAACTGCAGTTCCATTGATTACCACCAGTCTCAAGATAGTCAAGCTGAATGCGTTCAATCTCAAGGTTGTCATATTTGAAAAGCTTACGTTATGATAGTTAATCATTTTAGGGTGTAATTCTTTGAGGTTGCAATTATCCAAATTGAGATCAGCGAGATTCTCTACCTTACCGTAGCTATCATCAAGAAACCCGAAAGCATTTGGATGAATAGTGTGAAGTTCGCGGTTGTTATTCATATCTACTATCTGAAATAAGCTGATTCTCTCATAGTTTCCACTGATATCTAACCGTCAAGTTAGGAGATTTGCAGAAGGCACAGTCATCAATCTCAAAGATATGTTCCATGTTATCCATGTATAAATGAGTCAGATGGATAGCATTCTTAAATGTCAGATATTCTTATTCAAACATATAGTTTATCAGTTACTCTTAAGCTGTGATGATTGAACTCTGTCAAAGACGTCTTACTAATATCCAAAGAAATCAGATTGGGTAGAAACCCAATTGCTTTTGGAATCTCAGTCAAATAGTTACCACGGAGTGAGAGTATTCTGATGTTTCTGTAATTGATGTAATTGAGTTCAGGAAGATGAGGTTCGAACAACTCACGGCATGTGTTCGAAGAAGTCTAACGGTAAACTTTTCAGACCACAGTTATCAAGGCTTAGCTCAATCAACTCTGATAACCCACTGAATGAATTCTTACTGAAACTCATATATCAACTTGACGCATAGTTTTGCTACAAACGTGAGCTTTAATTTGTTTCCATCTAAGAAGAGACTTTTGAGAGTTCTTAAGTGCGAGAAGATGTTGTCATCAAGATTGGTTATTCCGCATTGAGTGAGACTAAGTCTCTTGAGTTGATCTAATCCAATGAACCAGTCCCTGAGATAAGATGATCTCATTTTAATATGTATTTAAGCAAACCTATTCACAGATTGGAAAATGTTCTGACTGAGACTTAGAATGTTGAGATTCAAGAAAAACTGAAAGGCTCCATTTTGAATAGTCTGGATCTTGTTCTGTGCCAGATCTAATACTCTGACTTCTTCTTCATGTCCAGGTACAATCTTTCCCTATAAAATTTACACTTTTCAGAATCTATCTAGTTATTATACTTTTTTCAGTCCGGCAATAGCATTATTCCTGAATTTGACAATTTGCGCAACAAAGTCTTTCTTCTTAATGTAAACTTCTACGGTATCTAGAATATCAGTATCGTCTTCTCCAAGAACCTGGTATTCAATGCGGAACCATATATTTGGATATATCAGTGACTTACATGGTTGCATGTTAACTGTTTGTCATAGCATCTACAAGCCAGATTATCGACAGTTGAACAAACTTCCCATTGTTTATCATCCGTATCAAGAGAAGAACCGTTCTCTTTTTGAAGTCCTAACCTCTCCATCTTCATCTCCGTCGGCTCTGGTTGGAACTCCTGAAGTGAATTTTTTCTTCAAACAACTCATGTTTTAATATTACAGTATAATCACCATCACCAATTGGTGGGATAGGGTCAATATCCCTCATGTGAGCTGACAACTTTTCATGGGTAAGCAATGTTTGGCCAAAGCAACTTCCTATTACCACAAGCAGCACGAGATACATCTACAACTTCACCCATTGATTTAAAAAATTTTTTGAGGTTAATATGAGTATGAATGAGAAAGAGAAGGTAATGCTAAAAGCTAGAAGCACAAATTGACACTAAGAGTCTAAACTAAATAGTTGGTCTGATAAGAAATTAATAGTTTACTAGGCATCTCTGCTGCTAAAACTGCCGAAAATGGCTCTGATAAGAAAATGGGCCAATAAATAGTGTGTGGAGCCGTAATCTCATAACCAGTTTAGTTTCTATGAGAGAGTTGTCATCTGATTTTTCTTTTTTTGAGCCACGTCCATCAAATTTCGTTGTGTTTGATTGCAATTATTTGGAAAAGTAAAAACTGCGAAGGATGAACTGGGAAAATTCTGCATCACTCTCCATCAGTAAATAAGGAAGCACCCACATAACACTGCGGAAGTAAAAAGTAGTTCACGTTTGTATTTTGCCAATCTATCAATTCTTACAACTGCATTCTGGCAGGATCCTGAAACGTTATCAAAGGCCTATCGATCTTCATACCTAGTATGATGTGCCATCTGTTGAAAATGAAACAAAAAGAATAGCGAATGATGTGTACCGCGATGGAACAGAAGTTAAAACTGAACCAAGTGTTCCGTCGATGCTTCTGTTCATTGAATAAATATGGAAAAGTTACAAATCGGATGAAAAACCATGCGTCAAGTAGATATCGTATTCAAGTAACTTGACAGAGCTTAACTAAACTTTTGAAACTTATTTGTCTTACGCCATAACATAAAAAACCCACTCAGAACATTCGATTTTAAAGAAGGATTCTTTGAATTTGCACGTCACAAGTTTGATCTCGGTAGAGATAATGGAACAATCCAAACTGTTACATCATACAGTTAGAAAGAGGGGGAATGGAAACATTGAAGTATTGTGTTCTCCACAACAGTCATTGCTACACTGTACATTTTTTATTGTTCAACATGAAAATATTATCGACTGATCTCGATTGCTTCACCTCATCAGTTGGTTCTATCGTTTAGAGATCAAACTTCACTCGAATTTCGTTGGAGTTAAAAAAATTTTCACGAGGAGATTCTCAAAACAAACAGAAAATAAGGATTCTCCAACTTCAGAATGAAACATTTAGTTTGGTTTGTTGGAACAGCTTCTTGAACTCTTGAAATTCATCTCGAGTTTTTTGAAGTACGGAAACAGAAGGAACAGTTCACAATTCACAGTTCCAAGATCGCATGGTCTTGCTTTTTGAATAAAATCATAAATGGAATGAAAGAAAAATGGAAAATTAGGTTTCTGTTTGAACTAGGCTGTTACTGCTCTCCTGATTGTAATCGTGTTTATTATTTCAATGGTACATTGACCCATAATAGACAATTGGTACCACGAATCAATTGGCTGTGTTAAAAACATGACTGATCATCATTGATAGTGTTTATGATGTATCTATATAGATTGATCAAGCCATTCAAGAAATTATTATTCCATATCGAAATATTGATTTCATAGAAAGCATAGAATCGGTTTTTGATCTGAGCTACATGTATAGGGGTTCAATCTGGTCATATCATTTCCTGGAATCAAAATACAATGAAATGCTTATTAAGAAACAGATATAGCATACAGCTAATCGTTTCTTCGAAAAATATAACTGTCTAACGGTCTCAGCAGTTTGAACACGATGAAGAACCCCAACCTACGCATTGAACTGATAAAAATAATCTTGTTCCATTGAAAAATTGAGTATAACAAAGCAATAGTTTATTAGGTGGTTCATATACAACAATTAAATGAAAAAAAAACACAAAGGTAACGAAGGAGCAACATTATGCTCATTTGGAAATGAATTATCACGAAACAAATTAACAACGGAGGTTATTGGATCTCTCTTTCCTCAAACTCTCCACCCTCTTCGCCAGTTTTCGCTTGCTCTTTCTCTTCCTGTTCTTTCCTTAATCGGTAAACTAAAGCAAGACGTTCAGCATACTTTTGAACAAAAGAATCTTGACAGCTTCTGAGATATTTCTTCAAAATAGGAGGCCTCTCAGTAACGGGCTTCTCTGCACGTTCCATAATACGAGAGGGTGGATCAGATATATGTACGTGTGCATGGATAGAATTCATGCCACTTCGATCAGCAGGAGTGGTAAAGCTGTCCGGATCCATCGTGAATAGCTTCAGCTTTTCAACCAAAAAATTATGCGAAGGCTCGAGATCATCTAATGTTTTCTGAATTTGAACTCGAAAAATCTCATCCCTTGCTTTATAATTCTCTAGACTAGCACGAAGATCATTTCGATGAGATTCGTGTTCGGAAGTGTCTAGGATGAAATCGCTTGGTGCACTGTATTCGAACGTATCCACAACTTCAGATCCTTCCGTTTCGCAATCACTTTGCTCTACCGATGATTCTGTTGTCGTTGAACTTGTATCAGATACAGCATTATGACGAATTCCATAACCGGTAAGTGCAGCGAAAAACTCAGCATTCCTTTCAATGCCGATGAATGGTAAGAATGCAGGTAACGGGCATTTCTTTTTAGAATTATGCTATAATTGAATGAGTATTAGACTAAAGGACAAAGATACACTAACCTCATCATTTCGAATTTTCTCATTATGCGTAGTATATCTCTTCATAAGTGTTAAGAACCATTCATAGAAAACTAATCCTCTACCAGAATTATTATTTCGTCTGTAATATAAATAATTTAAAAGTTTGTTTACAATCAAGCAAATACTTCTTCTTTGCAACTCCTTGAAGCATATTATCTCTTTTTGATAATACATTCTCCCTAAGATGCCTATCAAATAAATAATATCATATAACAATAGAAACTAATCAAACTAACGGTGGATAACGTTGCAGAAGATGATAATACTTAACTATGATAGCGAGATGCATAAAATCTACAACACATTTATTCTCTAAATTCATATCGTCTTCATAGAAAAATAAGGGCAAGTATCTGAATAATTTCATATTATACTTTATTAATTAATTTCAACTTACTTATATCGTTCGAGAACTTTTCTTTGAACAAAATCTTTTGTGATTTCAGCTAATGATTGCATTCTCTATAAAATATGATAAATGGAAAAGGTTAAATAGTCTATAGATACCTCAAACAAGTCAATTAAGAACTCATTTCTCTCTAAAAAAGCTTCGGGCAAGATGGAAAATTTATGAAATTTCATTTTACTTAAAATCATCTGAAGAAAAATGAATTGAATAAGCATTATTAGTGGCATACTCACCAAATATTCTAATTTTTCAGTATCATGATCGAAATCAGTTATGAAGCGAACATCATATAACGGATGAACTCTGAAATGAAGTTTAATAAGAAACTGAAACTATCTTAGACTTACGGTGGTATGTATTGATGTTGGAAATGATAATCCACAACAACATGATTGACACTAGCAAAGTAATCCCTATCTACTGGTGTTGTTTTCGGCTTGTT